GTTCCACAGTCAGCCCTCCTGGCCCTATATCATTCACTTATTTACCCCTATCTCACCTATGGAATTTGTGCATGGGGCTCAACAACAATAAACCATCTCAGACCACTAATCACCCAACAAAAGGCTGCAGTCAGAATGATAACAAATTCCCACTACAGACAGCACACTCCACCAATATTCAAAACTCTAAACCTACTCACAATACAAAACATCCATACTTATTACTGCACCTACTACATACATAGAACACTTAACTCTGACATAAACCCTCCCTTCAAACATCTTACCAACCTCAACAGAACACATGACCATAACATAAGGCACAGATCACTCTTTGATGTTCCTCGTGTCCATCTCACACTATGCAAAAACTCAATGCACATAAAAGGCTCTAAAATCTGGAATTCATTACCTGTGAATATAAAAGAAACACTGTTTATAAATTCAAGTCTCTTCTCAAAAATCACTTACCCACAACTAAATAAATACTGAATAATTGTATCTCATAAATTGTATCTCATATATGTATCTCATTATTGTATTTCATAAATGTCAACCTGTGACCCAGTCAAACTTTACTATTTAACTTCATTACCTAACAGAATACTCCATTCTACTGATTACACAGCAACACAGTAAATGACCATATGACCCGTCTTTGTAATACTCATTTGTACTAAATTGTTATCTGTTTTACAATAATTTTTGTACCAGTGAATATATCATTGCTTAGTTAATCTTAAGTTAATTTTAAGCCTGCCAATAATGCTCTGCATACAAGGGGCTTTGGCATGCTGCACTTTAAAAATTGTATTCCTTGTACTTCTCTGTATCATGTTCAAATTATTTTATTTATTATTATCACACTGGCCGATTCCCACCAAGGCAGGGTGGCCCGAAAAAGAAAAACTTTCACCATCATTCACTCCATCACTGTCTTGCCAGAAGGGTGCTTTACACTACAGTTTTTAAACTGCAACATTAACACCCCTCCTTCAGAGTGCAGGCACTGTACTTAGGAGTCTGTGGAGACAAAGAACTTTGTCCTTGGAGGCAAAGAGGGGAATGTATGAGAGTATAGTTTTACCAACGCTCTTATATGTGTGTGAAGCGTGGGTGATGAATGTTGCAGCGAGGAGAAGGCTGGAGGCAGTGGAGATGTCATGTCTGAGGGCAATGTGTGGTGTGAATATAATGCAGAGAATTCGTAGTTTGGAAGTTAGGAGGAGGTGCGGGATTACCAAAACTGTTGTCCACAGGGCTAAGGAAGGGTTGTTGAGGTGGTTCGGACATGTAGAGAGAATGGAGCGAAACAGAATGACTTCAAGAGTGTATCAGTCTGTAGTGGAAGGAAGGCGGGGTAGGGGTCGGCCTAGGAAAGGTTGGAGGGAGGGGGTAAAGGAGGTTTTGTGTGCGAGGGGCTTGGACTTCCAGCAGGCATGCGTGAGCGTGTTTGATAGGAGTGAATGGAGACAAATGGTTTTTAATACTTGACGTGCTGTTGGAGTGTGAGCAAAGTAACATTTATGAAGGGATTCAGGGAAACCGGCAGGCCGGACTTGATAGGATGTTCAAATAAATAAATAAATAAATAAATAAATTATTTTACAACGGCACTCTAGGCCTAAAGGTCCCCTCTGAGAGTATGGCTCTGCTTTGTTATTTTACACTGATTCTCCTTTTTTGACTCAGTAGATATTATTTTCTGCTAGATTAGTTCCAAGCGCTAGAGGGATATATCTTATAAGTTCACTGGCACAGTTTGAAGTTCTAGCACGCAAGAGAGACTGTGACAAACACTAAAGAACACAGCACCACGGCGACAGGGCAGCACGGCGCAGTAGCAAACACTTCATGTATCCACTCAGTGAAAAACCGTCTTGTTACCCCAAGCTTTGCTATGAGCCCTCCACATTACAATTAGTTTACTTTTTATCATATTGTTTTTTCTTAAACACCCTTGGATTTTCAGAGTGGTAGACTAGCAATGGTTTAATTTTGCAGTCCCCAATAGCATTACCGAAACAAGAGTGTTAGCCTGTCTCTCATGGGCTTGAGTCTTGGTAATGATTTTTTCTTCTTGTGTGATGTAGGTTCTCTTAGGCATTCTTTAAAAAAAAAAAAAAGTTTCATCACAATTAAAAACTTGTTGAATACACTATGAATCCCACTGCTTTTCTTAACCCTTTGACTGTCGAGGTCGTATATATACGTCTTACAAGGTACCGTGTTTGACGTATATATACTCATAAATTCTAGCGGCTTCAAATCAAGCAGGAGAAAGCTGGTAGGCCCACATGTGAGAGAATGGGTCTGTGTGGTCAGTGTGCACCATATAAAAAAAATCCTGGAGCATGCAGTGCATAATGAGAAAAAAAACTGACCGTTTTTTTTTAATTAAAATGCCAACTTTGTGGTCTATTTTCGTATAGTATTTATGGTTGTATTCTCGTTTTCTTGATCTCATTTGATAGAATGGAAAACATATTACAGAAATAGAGGTGATTTTGATTGATTTTACTATAAAAAGAACCTGGAAATGGAGCTCAAAGTAGGGGAAATGTTTGATTTTTGCCGATGTTCAAAAGTAAACAAATGATGTCATTGGCCAATAAATGTCCAACTAGCCATTCCAATATGCAGACATGAATGGGTTGATGTTATTTATACAATTATTACAGTATTGTAGTAGTCTGCATAACAGTAAATCTTCTATTTTTTGTTTGAATAAAAATTCAAAATAGAAAGCAAGAGTAATATCAGAGGGGCCTGGAAACGGGACTGATGAACAAAGAAAATGTTATTTTAGAGCCAGGAATGTCTGCATTGTTCATTCTGGACCTTATTTTGAAATTGTCATATTTTTTAATTTGGGTGAAATTGGCCAAATTGCAAATTTCTGACCACGTTATTGGGTAGTTGAAATCGGTAAATGGGCAGTTTCTTGTACTCAATCGATAGAAAAAATGGAGTTCTAAAGAAATAGCTATGAGTTTGGTCGACTGGAATAAGGAAATTAGCCGAAAATAGGGCTCAAAGTGGGCGAAATCGCCGATTTGTAAATATCGCCGAGGTCGCTAACTTCGAGAGAGCGTAATTCCGTCAGTTTTCCATCAAATTTCGTGTTTTTGGTGTCATTACAATCGGGAAAAGATTATCTATCATTTCATAAGAAATTTTTTTTTTTTTTTTAAATTTTGCAACACCAGGAGATACTTCAGGATTGAGGGTTGCAACAGTCAAGGGGTTAAACTAATCAAGCTAGTCTATACTTCCTTTAAATTCATCACTTTCAGCACTGTTGCCCAGGGTGTTTTACCTAAGATCACTATATAACTGCTTTTCTTTTTCACAAATTTTTGTTTCAGAGACACTGTCACTGGCCAACTGTTTTTCATTAATACATACTAACAAATGTTTTTCCATTTCTTCAATTGTCTGTGCCCTTTTCACACCAAGAATTTTCAATCCTTTCACTACATCAGCTCCTTTTATTACCTCTTCAATTTTTCAATATGGACGATACGGTGGATTTCACAGTATCATATTGAGTGACCAGGTCCAACACGTGTTTCACTTTGTAATGAGTTCTTTTTTCATTTTAATTGTTGTTCTCACTGTTTTCCTTTTAGTCTTGCTTGGATCATTACTCTTTTGGGGCCATGATAACTTATGTTCAATGAAAATATTTAAAAAGCAACACAGAATAACAATGAGATACCAAAAAGTTTCATGGAGCTTGTACAAACAATGCTTAATAAATAAAAGCTGACGTTTGGACTTCGTCCAACTGAACTATTTTGTTTAGGTCGAATATCAGGACAACGTCCGAATACCAAATCAAATTTTGATGAAAAAGTTGGGCAAATATCGAGCTGTACGAATATAGGGACGTGTGAATACATGTATTGAGGTTCCACTGTACAGTAATTTTATTAATGTCTGCAAAACAGCCATGGGGGGAGCTGAAAGATAGCTCTAGCCCTTTTGTGTTGCAATCAATACATCATTAGGAGCTTGCAATGTTGCAGGAAAGAGAATAAAATCCAAGCAAACATGTTCAGTGTGTGTTTGCTAGAATGAGGGAGGAGGGAAGCATAGAATAAGAGCCCAGGCATGCCACTAATGCCAGTGCTTAGTGCCTGGAAGGTTAACTATCTTTTAAGCCATTATAAAACCACCATCCCACAAGCACTGATACTATCGTGGCAACCTGACAAGCGCAACAATTAGTGCCATAACAATCCTCAAGAATTCTGTCAACTTCGATATGATGTAAAAGGCTTAACATTCTAAATACTGATATCTGGCAACTGTCTGGGTATTTTCCATACCTCAGAAACCAGTTCACTGCGACTCATGTAAAAGGGGAACTCACTTAACCCTGTAAACGGTCCAAACGTATATATACGCTTTTTCAACATTTGAAAGTATGTAAAAAAAGTAGAATTTCTTTTTTGTTTTTTTACATTTGAAAATGTGTAAAAAAACTTTGATCTACTTTTTTTTTGTTACATTTGAAAATATGTAAAAAAACGTAGATCTACTTTTGTAGCACTACACATGTGAACGTAGATCTGCTTGGACCATTTACGGGTTAAAAGGGAGACATGTAGTTTACCCACCTTCCCCCATGGTTATTTTGCATCTTGCATTGCTTGTTCACAGTTTTTTGCTTAAAGATGTCTGTGAATAGAATACACTTGAGTGGGGAACAGGGAGGACAAGGATGCTAGCTCAGGACTCTTGGTTCAAGAAACTGCATCTACCATCCTCTTACAAAAACAAAAACAGAGGAGCACTGCTGTAAATCTACTGGTCCATGTTGTTCCTCACATTTATGCTGATTACTTTTCATTCCCCAGCCATTGTGGGACACCAATGGGCTTAGCACTTTCCAAGAGTATATTATATATTGCATAATACAATTTTTAAATTTTAACATTAATTAAAATTTCCCTTAATATTTCTGAATAAAATAAGAGAAAATATGAACTTACTTCTTCCCAGTTTCCATATTCGCGTTTGTAGTTCATGATGTATCCTCGCACAGGTGCATGGTGCGGCCTTAAGCTCCAGCGTAGTGTAAGAGCATCCCTAGAGCTGCCTTGAACATACAGGGTGGGGGGTGCTGGTGGCACTGTCAAAAAAAAAAAAAACTGCTTATTTAAAATAATAAATCTTCAAATTTGAAAAGCCATCAAAATAACATTTTTTAATACCTTATATAAAATTAAACAAAATGAAATCCAGAAATACAGCTTCTCCTCACTTAACGACATAGTTCCATTCCTAAGACCATGTCAGTAAACGAATGCATCGCTAAGCAAGGAGCATCCTATAATGGTACTGAGTTAGTGTCAACCATCTTTGATAATGTTTTAATGTCAACTTTGCACCATTTATAATCTTTCTTTCAACATACCGGCCGTATCCCACCGAGGTAGGGTGGCCCAAAAGGAAAAACGAAAGTTTTTCCTTTTACATTTAGTAATATATACAGGAGAAGGGGTTACCAGCCCCTTGCCCCCAGCATTTTAGTTGCCTCTTACAACACGCATGGCTTATGGAGGAAGAATTCTGTTCCACTTCCCCATGGAGAACCATTTATAATATTTTTAGTATATTTTTAAATGTTTATACAGCTGTGTACTGCATACTGGAATAAACAGAATAGAGGTAATCAGCTCTAATATACATTATTTACACATGCAAACTGATCAGAAAGCCTACTGTAAGTCCAAGCTGTTGGTAAACGAGTACGTTGCTGAGGAGAGATTGTATTGTACTAACAAAGATTTTTATTTTGTTTCTGATTTATGCCATAATTTTTTTTTTTTTTTTTTTTTTTGACTCTCTGATGTCCACGGTACCCTTCAAGTCTGATGCATTAATAATTAAGATGCTGACAACAAAAACAAATTTGCCACATGACACTTTTGTAAAAATCGCCTTCAAACTTTTGCAACATGTTCACCTATTAGGAAAATAGGTACCTCGGTGTTTGTCAACTGGTGTGGGACATAGCCTGGGAACAAAACTGACCTAATTTGCCCAAAATGCTTTGCATAGCAAAGGGCTTTCTATATAGTAGTGTGTCAGTAATGTTAGCTATGGCCTGTATGCCTTGTACATGTACTCGTAGACAAAGATTATCATTATTAAGGAAAACTGGCAAATTCACCAAATGTCACTTTTGCAAAGATTGCCTATTAACCTGTTAACTATCCAAACATATATCTCCATTCTCACTGCCAGCACTCTGAATATAGTGTTGGAGTGGTTGGTATTTTTGTTTAATAACAGTATGAAAGAGGGAAAGGTACCTAGGGATTGGCAGAGAGCATGTATAGTCCCTTTATATAAAGGGAAGGGGGACAAAAGGGATTGTAAAAATTATAGAGGAATTAGTTTACTGAGTACGGTAGGGTTATTATTAAAAGAATTAGAGGTAAGACAGAATGTAGGATTGCAGATGAGCAAAGAGGTTTTAAAGTGGGTAAGGGATGTGTAGATCAGGTGTTTACATTGAAGCATATGTGAACAGTATCTAGATAAAGGTAAGGAAGTTTTTATTGCATTTATGGATTTAGAAAAGGCATATGATAGAGTGGATAGGGGAGCAATATGGCAGATGTTGCACATATATGGAATAGGTGGTAAGTTACTAAATGCTGTAAAGAGTTTTTATGAGGATAGTGAGGCTCAGGTTAGGGTGTGTAGAAGAGAGGGAGATTACTTCTCGGTAAAAGTAGATCTTAGACAGGGATGTGTAATGTCACCATGGTTGTTTAATATATTTATAGATGGGGTTGAAAAGATGTACAGTAAAAGCTAGAGTGTTCGGGAGAGGGGGGGGATTAAATTATGGGGAATCAAATACAAAATGGGAAGTGACTGTTACTTTCTGCTGATGATACTGTGCTTATGGGTGATTCTAAGGAAAAATTGCAGAGGTTAGTGGACGAATTTGGGAGTGTGTGTACAGGTACAAACTTGAAAGTGAACAAAGAAAAGAGTAAGGTGATGAGGGTATCAAATAATTTAGATAAAGAAAAATTGGATATCAAATTAGGGAGGAGTATGGAAGAAGTGAATGTTTCCGATATTT